CGTTCTTCCGCAGCTTATCCAATCGCTGGAACATTCCAGTGATGAGGTTGCAGCTCATGAAGGTCTGGGTGAGCTCCTCAGGGAAGCGATACTCGGCAGACCATAAGGACCAGCCGTCCTTATCAAAATGCTCCCCAAAATGGGGCAGGGCCACAGTCAGCGTGTCCTCATTGGAGTACTTGCGCTTAAACTCGTCCAACACGAAGGTACTTTGGGCAGGTGAGCAAAGGGGTCCTTGGGCTTTGGCTCGGCAGCGAGTGCCTGCTCACGTTCGTCCACCTCCTCCTCGGGAGCAGCGGCAGCAGCAGCCTTTTTATCTTCCTTCCGCTCAGCCTGGGCCTTCTGCTTCTCCTCCCGGGGTCCCTTCTCTTTCCGTGGGACATCTTTTTTAGGCTGGCTTTCTGCAAACTTTTTAGCATCGAACTGGGCCATCTTCTCACAGAGCTTCACCTCCCCCAGGACCGCCCGGAACTGAGGCTCGTTAATGCAGGTGAGGAACCAGCGGTTGGTGTTAGGGAAAGCCTGGCGGAAAGCTGGCTCTAGCACCTGTTCTTAGAGCCACAACAGGGTACAGACACCGTGATGTCAGCCAAGGTGACGTGTTCACCCACCAGGAAAGTCCTCGTCTTCAAGTGAAGGTCCAGGAGGCCAAGTGAAGGTCCAGGAGGCCCAGAATTCGCCTCACCTCCTCCTTAGCATTCTCTGTAGCCTGCTTGTTGTGGTGCATGATGCCCAAGGTGGGAAACACCCACGTGCTGGCTGGGGGAACGATGTCGCTGTCGGCAAAGCTCACCCACTGCACCACCTGGGCTGTTGCCTCTGGGGTACTTCCCTGAAGCTCATCAGTGCTCACGTAATAGGCAATGGCATTGCTCTCAAACACACAGAATCCATCGTCACCCTCAAAAGCTGGAACCTTGCCAGCTGGAAACTTGTGGAGAAATTCAGGGGTGCGGTTGGTTTGGCCGAAATGGAAGTGGGGTGGTGCGGAGAGCACGCGGACTTGAGCCCTGCCATACTGAGCGGCGATGAGGGCCTTAAAGGCCCTCCAGTTTTCAGGGTATGTGTACAGGGTCCCAGCCGCCATGGTGATTCCTCAGAGAAAAGGGGCCCTTCCATCTTCTTTTAATGCTTCCTGGATCAATTAATATTCTGACCATAGCATCCTTAAATATTGCAACTTATGGGATGAATTTGTTTTGGGTTTTTTTGTGGGTTTTTTTCCCACTATTTTATTTTGATTTATTTACAAAGTTTGAATATATTGCTTTTCACAAAAGATCCTTCCCATTTCCTTCATCCTAACCACCCATCGAACTGTACAACCCTATGATTAACACCCTCCCCTCCCCACATCCTCACCCCTCTATTTCCACTCTGCTCTCACCTTGGATCCTCATACTCATTCTATAATAATGGTTTTATACAGTCTTTGTCTTGTGGGACTGAGTTAGTTCACTCAGCATAATGTTCTCCCACGTTAGGTAGTAATTTACAAAATCTTTACTCCTGCGTGCTATGTAGTATTCCACTGTGTGAATGGACCACAACTTACCAATCCATTTGTTTGTGGTTGGACATCTGGGCTATTTCGATGTTCTTGCGATGGTGAATAATGCTGCTATGAACATAGGTGTACAAGTTTCCATTTGAGCCTCAGTTCTCATTTTCTTGGGTTATATTCCAAGCAATGGAAGTGATTGCTGGGTCATATGGAATTTCTATATTCAGGTTTTTTAGGAAGTGCCAAGTGCCTTCCAGAGTGGTTGTACTGAATTTGTTTTTCCTTTCCTTCAGCTTAAGAAATGCCTTTCCTTTCCTTCAGCTTAAGAAATGCGAAGCGAGTTTAGCCCTTTTGATTTTCTGACTCCAGTTCTTTGCAAATTTCAATACTTTGTTTTGTCTTCCCATGCTGCGCTCTGAAATCTGTTCATCTTCTTAACTTCTTCCCTTTGTTGGCTTCTCAGCCGTCTTGTGCTTTACTCAGAGTCTCTTTTGCCATCCATCCCTGTTTGCCATCCATCCCTGTCCTTTCTCCTTTCTTCCTCATCTGTCTTTGTAATGACCTTTTGCATTCCTTGTGGATGATCTTCTTGATATCCTCCCATAGTTCACCTGCTCTTTGTTCACTGGTGCTCAAGGCCTCAGACCTGTTCCTGAGATGGTTCTGAAATTCAGGTGGGATAGAACTCAAGGTCAAATTTTGGTTCCTGTGGATTTGACTTAAGCTTCTTTAGCTTTAGTTTGAACTTGTATATGAGTAGTTGATTGTCTATTCCACAGTCAACACTTGGCTTAGTTTTCACAGCTGATATTGAGCTTCTCCAGCGATTCTTTCCACAGATGTAATCTATATGATTGCTGTGCGTAGCATCAGGTAAGATCCATGTGTACAGGCTGCGTTTATGTTGTTTACAACAGGTATTTGCAATGAATAAAACATTGTAGAGAATTTTATCATTCTATCCCCAGCCTAATTTCTGTCACCAAGTCTATGCTTTCTGAGTACTGATCCTTTTTCCTTGTTCGCATTCCATTCACCCATTATTATTAATGCATCTTGATTGCATGTTCAATCAACTTCTGATGCAAAAATTGGTAAAAGTCACCTATTTGCTCCTCATTGGCTCGAGTTGTTGGTGCATATATTTGAATGATAGTGGTTCTCACTGGACTTCCTTGTACGTGTACGGGTGTTATCCCTGCTCTGATGTGGGCCTTCACGGGTCTGATATCTGCGTGGTCTATTACCAGAATCCCATCTGTCTGGATGGCTGGGCTCCACGTACCACACAGTGTTCACTGTCATTTGCTGGTGTTCATGGGTTCGCTTCCACCCATTTCAGCATTTTCTTTTTAACATCTCATTCTTTCCCCTCGCCCTGCCCACAGCCCCTGGCAATCACTAATAAACTGTCAGGCAGACTTGCCTTTTCTAGATGTTTCGTGCCGTTTACGTAGGATTTGCTCTCTGCACTTGCATATTCTAGACATTCCATACACAACTCGTCCTTCTGTGACTGACCTCCCCCAGCATCCTGTGCGGAAGCTGACGGCAGAGTTTTACATAAAGCTTAATAAACCACCCTCCCTGCCACCTAGGTACCCTGATCTGCATCGACCCTGAGGGACGGAGAGGCCCTGGCTGGAAGAGAACTGCCCACAGTGTTTCCGAGGCTGGGGGCCCTGGAAGCAGAACACCTCGTCTTTTTCTGGGGAGCAGCTGCTGGATTTGCCACCTGTTAGAGGTGTTCTGCCCCCACTGACATCCTGGGGCTATGGATCGTAACAAGAGCACGCCTCTTCTTATTCCTCCTGTAAGTGGCTGGAGGGCTTGACCCATCAACCCATGGTCAGCTGAATGCTTTAACCACTGTGCTCCGGACTCCCTGAGTTGTGACAAGCTGGGTATAGTTTAACCAGCGGCACAAAGCCGGCTGCATCCAAGTGGCTGGACCCTGAGGGCAGGCCCCTGGCCCTGTGTTCCTATTCCCCAAGTCTGCACCCAGGTAAGAGGATGATTCAATGTCCAGGGACTGACCGCACACCGCACTCACGCCCACGGCGCCCGACTCACCGGCTCCTGGCCCACGGGCTGAACCAGCGCAGCTCCTGGTAGTTGCCTGCATTCGCCAAGGCCATCTTGGGGCGCATAAGCAGGATCCTCCTGTGGGCGGGGCCAGGCCCATCAGCAGGAGTGTGTGGGTGACACCGCTCTCAGGGGCTGCCTGGCGAGTGCCAGCAGGACTCCCAGAAACATCATCCCTCCCTGGGGCTATGGAGTCACAAACTGACCTGCGTCACTGCCACACAGTTGTTTGACTACAGTGACCCCACATGACAGAGCAGAGCTGCCCCAGAGGGCTCTCTAGGGTGCCATCTTCAAGCGAAGGAGCCTCATGGCACAGTGGGCGAGCACTCAACAATTAACTGAAAGGTTGACAGTTCGAACCCACCAATAACTCCCTGGGAGAAGGGGAAGGGTCTGCCCTGTAGACACAGCCACCTTAGGAAGCCCCCAGGGCAGTTCTGTTTGGCTGGACAGTGTCTCTATTCAGTCAGCGGGTTTAACAGAAGCAGGTGGTCAAGTGGAGGACATATGGCCTCCAGGGACCACTGGTGGCAGAATGCCAGTTCCCTCCCCCACCGTCCCCTCCCCATGGTCTGGGAGCTGAGAACCAGGTGAGGTGGGCAGGTGAGCCGGGCAGGTGAGAGCCACAGCCCTCACTCTCAGGGCAGGCTGACCCGCCTGGCGACTTACCTGTTGAGAAAGATGACCCTGCAGTTGTAGCGGACATTCCTGTGCATGACGGGCCTGTGGTGGAAGAGAGAGAGAGGTCAGCTTGGGGCATGAGGCCCCGTGAGTGAGACAACGCCCGGCACCCCACATCCTGCTCAGGTGAGCCCAGATCCTTCAGGAGAACCACAGCAGTCTCGAATCAGCCATTAGGACAGGCACACTGTGGGACAATCACATCACCAGGTGGTGTTGGGTCATTCGGTCACAGAAAGACCTGTGAGGAAACACAGGAAACTGGACAAGCTCACTCTTACGTGACAGATGACCCACAGCCAAGTCCATCCGGGCTCACAGTGACCCTATGGGACACAGCAGAGCTACCCTGCAGAGTTTCCAAGACGATCATTGTCAGGGGTGCTGGCAGCCTCAACCTTTGCCTATGTTGCATCTGGTGGCTTCAAACTGCCGACCTTTTAAATGGTTGTTGCTGTGTATTGTGGAGCCAGAACCGACTCAGAGCTGTACTCTCCAGCAGGTTTTCAGAGGCAGTTAATCGCACAGGAGGAAATGGACCACTGTACCACCAGCGTTCCTACTGAAACAGCCCTCGGCTGCCAAGGTGACTCCGACTCATGACGGCCTCTGTGGTTTCCCTCAGGCTGTGGGTCTTTACGGAAGGAGGGGGCTCAGCTTTCTTCCAAGGAGCACCTGATGGATTCGAACCACTGGCAGAGCAACATGTAAGACAGCAGGCTAGCAGAGCTTCAGTGAGAGAAGCTGATCTGAAAAGCTATGAACTGTGTGGTCCAAGCACAGGACATTCTGGATCAGGAAAAACTATGAACATGGTGACCGGTGAGTGGTCACCAGAGGCTCAGGGAGTGAGGGTGGACAGATGGAGCATGGGACATGGCTAAGGCAGTGACCCAATTGTGCATCTTCCTGTGTGGCAGACATACCACATGATACATTCCTCACAGGGGAAAGATGGAGCCCTACTGTGAAGGATGGACTGTCATTAGCAACAATGTATCTACATTGACAGCTCCAGAGTTCTATTAGGGAGCTCTGGCGGCTTAGTGGGAAAGGGCTAAGCTGCCAGTCCAGAAGCAAATGTTCAAATCCACAAGTTGCACTGCAGAAAAAAGATGGGGAATCTCTTCCTATGGGATTTACTGCCTCTGAAAACTGGCTGGACTTTTAACAGTGTCTCCATACTGGTAACTACAAACTTTCATTAACAATAATGTATCCATACTGGTCCATCACTGCAACACAGGCACATAGGACAAGATCTACAACTTTACTAAAACCCAAGACTGCTCTAAAAAATAATCTGCATTTTAACAATAATAAAAAGGAAAGGAAAAAAATATGCAAGGCATATGCTAAGAACGAAACAAGTATAAATGGCCATCCTCATGCGGGATAAAACAGGACAGAAGGAGCCAGAGGGTGAACAGAATCAGCCTCAGGCACGGGCGGTGTGGGCATGGCCTCCACGGCTCCTCACAGGACATGCAGTGAGGCCTGTTCATGTGGGTGATGTGGACCACTCCAGACTCCCCAGCGACTGGGGACAGGCGCTCCACAAGGTGACAAGGTGAGCTCTGCTCCCGCGTGAGCCGAGTGTGTGCAGGGGGACACGCACAGCCTGCGTTCAGTAGCTGCTGTGACTAGGGAGGGGTGGGGTTAGGAGACTGTGGGACCGGAGGGGGCACAGAGCCTACGTTTCAATATAAGGCCTTTTAAACCACAGCGGCTGAGCCAAACTCGCCTCATGGAGACGCCACGTGTGTCAGCACAGCTGTGCTCTGTGGCGTATTTAGGCTGGATTTTAGCAAGTGGAGTGCCAGGTCTTTCTTCCAAGCCACCTTCAGGTGGACTTCCAGCCTCTTGAATAGCAGTTGAGTTCGTCCACCTCTGGCAACACCTGGACGAGAGCTCTGCAGCTGTGCAATGGACACGTTCACAGCAGGGCTGCAGGGTGGCACCGGCCTCAGACCCTCCCTTCGTCCTGAACCTCCTCGCAGTGGTACTCACATGCCCACGTCACAGATGATATCCTGGGTCACTGGAGATTCCAACAGGGCCGCCAAGACTTCGAGCGAGTGCAAGAGCGTGTCTGACTCATGGTAGTGATCCCAGCATCCATAGCCACTGCGGAGAAGAAAGATGCAGGTGAGCCACAGGTAAGATAAAGGTGACACAGGTGAGCTTCAGGTGAACCACAGGAAAGACGAAGGTGACACAGGTGAGATGCAGGTGAACCACAGGTAAGAGGAAGGTGACAGAGATGAGCTGCAGGTGAACCCCAGGTAAGACGAAGGTGACACAGGTGAGATGCAGGTGAACCACAGGTAAGACGAAGGTGACATTGTAAGACCTAGATGAGGCACAGCGCAAGGGCGGGGCCGGGGCCAGGGCTGCCATCCCCAGGCAGGCAGGTAGCAGTCTGGGGTGGGAGGACACCCTCAGCAGGCCTACTGTACAGCAGGGTCAGGTCCCCTGCTACAGAAAAAGGCACTGCGTACAGGAATGAATGTCCACAGGCCCTGCCCTTCCTACTGGCTTTAAGTTACTCCGAGAAAGTCTCTCATGAAAAGAGGTGGCTGCTCTTCAGTTGCTGTTTCTAGCAGTCACTTTGGCTCACATCACAGTGGTGGACAAGAATGGCAGAAACAAAGCCAGGGCTGCAGGAAGCTGTTCTTCAGAAAAGAGTGAGACATTCAAACTAGACCCCACATGACCTCCACAAGGGTCCTTCCACAGAAGCTCATGATGCTGTACTTATAACTTGTTAGTCAAATTTGTGTCTTCTAGGTTGCAACACCCCCATGATACATCTTGAAGGATATGTACATGTACAGCCAAGCACAATCAAT